AATTATAAGACAGTGTGGCAAACGCTGCTTTTCTGGAGCCTGTTGCATAAACAAATACACCTTTATTTGCCACAAATAATCGGTATACGAAGGAAAACAAGGGGGGGGGGGGGGGGGGAAGAAAAGCAAAATATGGTGGGAATTTTTTAACGCTTTCAAGTTTGCCGAGAAGCGAGCAGCGGACGAGGACGACGACGACGACGACGACGACGACAGCGACAGCTTGCAGCAAAGGTAGAGAAGGGGGTGGTGGGCGGTGGCTCAGGGGGGCGGAGAGGCAGAGTAAACTATTACATAACACGCATTATACAAAAGGTGCCTGAGAATGCAGGGCGAGATTGGTGAGGGCTGTGGAGGAGCCCTGGCTGAAAGCTGAGAGCCAAAAGGCCCAGGGGAGGGGAGGGAAATGCATAAAAAGCGCATTTTATTATTTCACTCGAAACTTGTTTACGAAGCGTTTTCCCAGCGCTTTTCCTCGTACCGCCTTGTCCAGTACTCCTTCTCCTTCTCCTTCTCTGTCTCTCTTTCTCGCTGTCTCACTCTCCCCGAACCGATTCGTCGCCCTCTTTCATTATGATGTTATATGTTTTAAACATTATTTTTATTATAAATCAACGGAATGCACTCAACGCGTCTTTCAGTTGAAACCGGCAACTTTTTACGTCCCCCCCCCCCCCCCCCCCCCCCCCCCCACCCCATACCCAGCAGGGGGAAAAAGAGAGAAAAGGCTAAAGTGGAAAACCAGAAGGGAATCAGGGGCAAAAACAGCAGTTCCAAGATTGGAGTCTGATTTATTTAATGCTATTATAGTTATGACTGTGAATGGTGCAGGGGCATGTGGCAGGGGCAGGGGCAGGGGCAGGGGCAGGGGCAGGGACATGGTGCAGGGCCAGCAGAATGAGAGCAATGTCAGCCAGCAAGAAAAGAAAGGAAATATTAAGATCAAAGAAAGTTTGTTACTGGAAAAGTGCCACAAAGAAAGCAGAGAAAGGAAAGACGAGAAAAGATAAAGACATTCAATGAAGGTGATGCGCCCTCGGGCCGTAGGGGGGGGGGGGGGGTGGTGCCTGAGCTATAAACTCGTAATATTATGGCTCTAATTCATCTATAATCTTTCATCTTCTTCCAAGTATTTCTCCCTCTCAAGGATACCTTGGTTTTCCACTATTCTCCGATATATTTTTGTATTTTGTTGCATTTTCAATTGGATTTTCTCTTTAAATGGCATTCGTGGAACCGCTTGACAGAAAGTAAAGAGCCCCAGCCCCAGCCCCAGCATTCAGCTTTCGGCTTTTTGCGTAACAACAAAATGTCACAACTGTCTGTCAAGTCGGCTGCACACCGAAAAACAAAAAACCAACAAACCAACAAAAACAAAGGAATATTCTCGTATTCGTAGTCGTATCTCCAGGGCACAAATGCAGCTGGAATTTTTGGGGTTTTTTTTGTTGATGCCGCCTGAGAGCTACGTTTCAAGGATAAAAGCTTTCCTCTATACTTATTAATATTTGTTGCCAGCGCGGCGTCGGGGAATGCCAGTGAAATTTGTCAACTTCATCATCAACGGCTGTGAAAATGTCGCAAAAAAGCAAAGGGAATGTGTGAAAGTCCTCGGAAAGTGAAAGCGTAAGGCTGGGCTAAGACAAGGATGCGATTCGAAGGCTGAAGAGGCTGAAGATACACTGTAGATAGCGCTCTGCAGATAATCAGAGTCTTATCTAGGCATTTATAGCTCTCTTTCTTCCTTTGTTCTGTGTCCAAATATCTTCATGGCCTCCTTTTTCTGTAAGTGTAGCTAAGATACACTCTAGATAGCGCTCTGCAGATAATCAGAGTCTTATCTATGTATTTATCGTGTATTTATAGCTGTGTCCAAACATCTTAATGCCCTCCTTTTTCTGTAAGTGTAGCAGAAAAAAAGAAATTATTTGAATTGCATGCAACATATGCATGAGAGTTGCTCAACTGTAAGAAATATTACCATTAACCTGCTGCTGTGATGGCTTCTGTCTGCCTTCTCCCTGCTCCCTCGAGTGTTCATTGAGTTGAATGGAAATCATCATCAGGCGGAGCGAGGGCTTTGCTTGGAGGTCGTTGATTAATGTGACTTGTCATAATATTCCGCTCCCACACCCCCCACCCCCCCGAACCATTTGCGTGCCTGCGTGTGTGTGTGTGCCTTGAATCCAAAAGCGAAAGCATTCAATGCCGACGAGTGGTGGAGCTGTAAGTGGGCACGACGACCCATTATCCTTACACTTCTTGCATTGCAATTTCCGCTCCTTAGTTGGCGCATTTGCATGCTGATCTCATTAGCACAAAACAAGTTCATTTGCTGACTCGACTCGGACTTTGGACTTCGGTTCTAGGTCCTGGGTTCTGGGTTGCATTTCTCTGGCTGCAGGTACATGTCCCACAGCCTCCTGCTGACGGCTGGAGCTGCCTTGGAAGCTGCCTTGTGCTGCATCATTTGCATGCAAATGTCGTTGGTAGGCCACTTCCCTAGCCACCCGCCCCGCACTCTCTCTCCAGTGGTGTCCTCCTGCCCTCCTGATCCTGGACTGCTTGCCGCCTGTTCATTTTGCTCTTTTGCACGCCTTTGTTGCGGTTTTGTCCTGGACTTGGCTTTTGCTTCCAGCGGACAAAGGCGGCTTTTGGGCTGACTGGTCTCATAAACCAAGCGACTGAGAGAGAGAGAGAGAGAGAGAGAGAGAGAGGGGGGGGGTTAGAGTGTGGGCCCACAGTTGGCACTGCCGTTGACACTTTGGCCAATATTCAGTGCACGCAAAAAGAGTGGGCCTCCAGGGATGGGCGGGCTGGAGAGGGTCGGCCTTTATGAAAACTTTCTTTGGTTGAGGGACAAACTTCTTGTTTGAAAATGGTCCTCTCTGTCGCCTGTCGCCTGTCGTTTGTGTCGCTGTCGCTGTCGCTTTTTATTGGCCACTCTGGTTAGGCCAAGGCAAACGTGCCCACTCTTGATCCACTCATTATGGAGAGTTTTACAATTTAGTTGCACTTTCCACCGAGCACCAAAAGGGAAGTGAACGCCTGGGCATCCCACTGAAGGACATCCTTTTCGCAATCGGAAAGCACTGCAGTCCGACCGACCGTTCGACCATCTTTTGTAAGCCCTAAGCTCTTATGGCAGGTGCAAGCATATTTAATTGAATTAAAGCGAAGGCAGGCTTTGCTTCGTACTTTCCTCCACCAAAAATATAAACAGAAACTGGCAAGGACTTCTCTGCGAGCATAAGATCTTCGAAAATTCTACAATCCGCTTACGGAAAAGCACTTGGAAAATATTACGCATACGCACTGCTGTGCAGTGAGGAGTGAGCTTCAAAGAATGCCCGAAATGCCCCCCAGCACCCACCCCCCCAAAATGCTGCTTGACTGCTGCTGAAGGATCCTCTGCTGCTGCTCTTCCTGCCCCTGTTAAGGACCAACTAAATAATGGCCAAAGGTAAGTGAAGCATCCATCCCCCCTCCCCAACAAAAGCAGACCTCAAGTTGAAGCCCATTAAAGCCATGCGCCCCAACGCGTTCAGAGCCAAGTACAATTAAGGATTTCAACGAACGCCAAAAGCCATACACCAAAATATATTGTGGTCGAGGAAACAATAAACCAAAAAAAAAAAAAAAGTATAGAAACCGAAAAAGAAGAAAGAAGCAGCCGCCTGCTCCTTCAAGGCTCTGCCGCCCCCCAAGGCCAAAGGAGGAGTCCGTCGAGGAGAAAAATAAACAAAAATGTAATTTGCGCCACTTAGCAGCAAATGGACAATGCCATTAATAATTCTATTTTTTTTCCCCCCCCGTCCAGGACTGTGGGGGGGTAGGTATTACGAGGGTGGCACAGATAATAAGGAAATATGACTTTGTTCTGCGGGGGCCACGACGACGCTTGACCGCAAAAATTTGAAATGAAAAACAGGAACAGGAAAAACCTGAAAGTCAGAAAGGGCAACAACAACAACAAAAAACAAACAGAAGTTGGCATTAGTCATAAGCTAAGCAGCAAAGCAAAGGTAAAATGGAAAATGGAAAATGGAAATAAAACGAAAATGGGCAAACTCCATTGAAAATTATGTTTAAATTTTCAACCAAAAATGGCGCCTTTTGCTGGAATAAATAAAATTAAATGTGTCTTAATATTATTTGAGGGGAGTTTTTTTGGTTCAAAGATAATGAAATTAGAAAAGATCCGCCCTCGCAGATCCCATAAATACATACATATATAATAGCGTTTATTTTAACCTGTTGCCTCATAGGATTTTTCTTTTAAAAAAAGTTCTCTACTTTTCGCTGTGATTGTGGCTGGGAGGGGGAAGGGGCAAGGCCTTGGCTCTGCCTCGTTGTAATTCAATTTTGAGGCAATTTTTTGTTTTGTTTTGTTTTGTGTTTGGATAAATCTTGCTTTTGTTTCGTTTTGTGGCATGGAAATCCAATTAAAGTGACAAACTGTCCGAATTTATGACATGGGGACACACACACACACTCGCACGCAACAAAGCGGCGGGTATACCCAAAGGACACAAAGGACAATGGTTTGGGGTTCGAGTAGATTGAGACACAAACACACACACACACACACACACACATGCGACCCTCATTCGGATTCCGCATCCTTTATGCATATTCATGGGCAAGGGCCAGAGTCGGAATCAGATTCTGAATCAGAATCAGGAGCCATAGCCATAGCCATAGCCATAGCCACAGCCTTAGCCGACGCCATATATGGCCGCCATAGGGCGTGGCTCATGAATTATGAAATGTAATTGAATGAAATTGAATATAGACGACGACCGGTGTCAGTTGACAAGAAAAGTGAAATTCCAAATTCCAATGAGCGATTTATGGGCCAATTGAATTTGTGACAGCCGCCAAATGTCAAAGCCAACGTCCGAATGAATAATGTAATGGAATACCGCTCAAAGCTCCTTCCAGCGTTATATAAAGCACTGGCCAAAAGGAATTCCAATGTCAGTCGACAACAATACGCGATGCATTGGTTGATTCTGCTGCTGTTCCTTCTGCCGCTCTCCATCTCCATCAGGGCCAGGGAGTCCTCCAGCCCCATCCCCATTCCCATTCCCATCCGCCGGCAGCTGGAACTAGACAGGGAATTCGAGGTGGAGGTGGAGGAGGAGGAGGAGGAGCCGTTGCGCACTTCGGTGCTGCAGAGCAGCCTTCTCCTGCAGTTCTGCCTGCAGTACCGGCATATACCCCGGTTAACCTACTTCACGTGCCGCAATCCGGAGACCAGCTCTGGGAATGAAGAGGAGCTGCGTGCGGCATTCGCTGCCAAGAATGCGCAGCTGATTAAGAGCCTCTACCGTAGCCAGCTCTTTGTGCGGATTGTGCGGCTCGATGTGCTCCAACAAACGGGAGGCGGCTCTGCCAGCAGCAGCAATGACCCCAGGCGCGGTGGCAGGGTGCAAGGGCGACCAGGACCAGGACCAGGACCAGGAGCCGGGCCTGGTTTTGGTTTCGGTTTCGGTTTCGCTCAGTCACAGAGCCAGGCCCAAAGCAATGCCGAGTGGTTGGACAGTGTTCTGTCGGTGGATGCCCTTAGGCAAATTGTGGCTGTGGATCTGGCATGCGGCGCCCAGAGTCGTCGCTTACTCGATTTGGTAAGATACTTTGAACAAGATAACAAGACAGGAGGAGGAGGAGGCGGAGGCAGAGCCCTGCTCTAGGCGGCTCTCATCTGCCCGTCAGCCTTATTAAGTGCTCAAGTGAAATTATTTCAAAGGCTTCCGCCAAGCGGCTCTACAGCGACAAGTTTCACTGGCTATTGATAGAGGATTTTGCGCTGTTCAACAGGCTGGAAGGAGGAGCTGACGAGCATCTGCAGCTGCAAGCCAAGCAACTGCAAAGGACCAAGGACGAAGAAGACCTCCGCCTGCCAACTATCGAGGACTTTATGGAGGGCCTGAACCTGTACATGAACACAGAGCTGATACTGGCCAAGCGACTGTCAGAGGCAGCCAACTATACGCTATATGATGTGTGGTGAGTGGCCGGGGAGACTCCTCAAGGATACCTTATCATCAGAATCATCCATAAACTTTGCTCGCAAATGGCAACAGAAGTCTATTAGCCTCGCTCGACATATACGTAGATCAAGCGCAAACCCTCATTAGAACGGAGCCATCATCCCAAAAGACCTCTCCGGCAGTTTCGCACACTTTGGGGGAGCCTCAAAAATCTGTCCCCTCAAAAGTTCCTGACATCCACCATCATGGTGCACCATCAGAGGTCACGCATCTGTCTGGTTTCCAAATCAAGCAATCATCGCATCATCACTGCCTCACTGCCTCACTGCCTCCCTGCCCCTCCCGCCTCCACCAGGACAGACTAATTCCCATAACCCCTGGGAGTGTTGACTCCCAGGCCCCGTTCGGACTTTCGCCTTAGGAATCCCGGCCTGAACTATGGCGGACGTGTCAGTCGAACGGAAATTGGCAGCTTCACGCCGTCAGAGGGTGTTCGATTGCAGACCTGGTATCGGAGGACATCGACGGTGCGGCGTCGCATGAATATGCAGCATGCCCGAGTCCGTTGCATGGTTGTGGTGCGTAGGACGGTGGCGATTTATCGTTGCTCGTTTTGGGCGGCTGATATCCCGACTATCTAACCGGCAGGTGACCAACAAGAACATGACGGGCACTCTGATGTACTACCTAACGCACACGGTGTCGGGCCACATCGATACGATGAATCGCTTCAACTTCAATCTCCTGATGGCCGTCCGAGACATGTTCAACTGGACTTTTGTCCTGTCGCGGACCACCTCGTGGGGCTATGTGAAGAACGGCCGGTTCGATGGCATGATTGGGGCTCTCATACGCAACGAAACGGACATCGGTGGGGCGCCGATATTCTATTGGCTGGAGCGGCACAAGTGGATCGATGTGGCCGGCCGTAGTTGGTCGAGTCGGCCGTGCTTCATCTTTCGCCATCCACGGAACACGCAAAAGGATCGCATTGTGTTCCTGCAGCCCTTCACCAACGATGTCTGGGTCCTGATTATGGTCTGTGGCGTGGTGACAGTTTGTATTCTGTGGCTTCTGACCACCATTGAGTGGAAACTGGTGCCACACGATGGTGCAGCGCTGATCAAACCCAAGGGAGGGGCACCACCACGCCATCATCATCATGTGCAACAGCAACAGCAACAGCAGGAATTGGAGGCCACCGTGCGTCCAGTGACCGCTCTGTCCGTGGCAGAGGTGGCAGATGTGGTAGATGATTCGGAAGCACCAAACAAAGTGGAAAACCCCACCACAATTGATCCGGTGACCCTCTGGCAGCGCTGCTACCTGAAGCTCAATAATTATGTGAAGGAGCGCAAGGCCAAGCGGCAGGCACCCGAGCGCGTGGGCCTGTTCTTGGAGTCGGTGCTGTTCTTTGTGGGCATCATCTGCCAGCAGGGACTGGGCTTCTCCACCAGCTTTGTGTCGGGCCGGTGCATTGTGATCACCAGTCTGCTGTTCTCCTTCTGCATCTATCAGTTCTATTCGGCCAGTATTGTGGGCACCCTGCTCATGGAGAAGCCGAAAACCATCAAGACTCTGAGCGATCTGGTGCACAGCTCTCTGCGAGTGGGCATGGAGGATATACTGTACAATAGGGACTACTTTTTGAACACCAAAGATCCAGTTTCCATGGAGTTGTATGCAAAGAAGATCACCAGTGTCCCCACCACCAAAGAGAACGAGGCCGATGAAGATGAACCGGCAGATCCAACACCACCAGCAGCAGCAGCAGGACCTGCTGCTCCTCCAGTAGATCCAGCCAAAACCTATCGAGATATAGTCCATAGCCATGAGACGGGTGCCCATGCCAAGGATAACTCGGCCAGCAATTGGATGGATCCTGAAACGGGTTTGTACAGGGTCAAAAATGAACGTAAGTCAAGGTCAAACTTCTGTCAATCCTCACAAAGAATATGGGTCCTCTTCTAGGCTTTGCCTTTCATGTGGATGTGGCGGCTGCCTATAAGATCATTGCGGAGACCTTTAGCGAACAGGATATATGCGATCTGACGGAAGTCAGTATGTTTCCCCCGCAGAAGACGGTCTGCATTATGCAAAAGAATTCCCCCATGAGAAAGGTCATCTCTTATGGGTAAGTGGAGCCAATGAGAGGAGCACTATAAGGAGCTGTATCAATTGGTTTTCCAGCCTGCGACGTGTCACAGAGACGGGCATCCTCACATATCACTTCAACGTGTGGCACTCGAGGAAACCGCCGTGTGTGAAGAAAATCGAAACCTCTGATTTGCACGTGAGCTAAGATCCACTTGTGGAACCTCTAAGATATACTCATTCCCCCCCATTGACAGGTCGATATGGACACCGTTAGCTCTGCTCTATTGATACTCCTCTTCAGCTATGGCATAACCCTCATGATTCTGGGCACGGAGATCCTCTACTCCAAGTGGCACAGGCGCATCATAATAAAGTTCAGTTGAGCGATACTTGAGATTTTGTTGAATAAAGTGCAAGGTTGACCTCTAGCCTCTGAGTTCAAGTGGAACTAATTTTGCCCGCCCCGAGGAAGTTTTCAATTCATTTTGGATGCGCCGCGATTTCCGTTTCATTAGCCACCGCCGCCCACAAAAGGGGGAATTCGACAGGGAGGGGGGCGGGAGATGTGTCAAAAGGTAAAAGTTTAATTCAATTAAGTTGGATTTGGCACGGAAGGGAAGAGCAAAGGAACAGGATTCTCGACAGCATCGATTGCATAATTAAATTTAAACTTTTTTTTTGTTTTTTGCTTGAGTATTCGTCAGGGCCTTACACGAGTCCTGCGTGTAATCCACTTAGAGCGACAGACAGGACTAGGATTGGGCACTGATTTAATTGCGGAATTAATTGAATTAGAATTTATTGCGGTTCCTGGGGCTTTCCCTCCAAGACGAGAGTCGACAAACCCGGCGACAGATAATGCAACAATATGCCCAAATTGTTGCTTCGTTTCTTCTTGTTTTTTTTTGGTGGCAGGAAAGTGCCTTGGCTGCCTTGGAGCGAGTCAATTTTAACCACAAACGAACTACAAAATATCCATTAAGATAACAAGTTTTTCCAGTAGTTTCAGTAACATAGTTTCTGCCCCCCCCCACCCCCCTGTTGCTCCTCTGCGCTGCTACTTTACTTTTTTCATATTTCCCTTTTTTTTTTGTGTGTGTGTTTGTTGCAACTATTTGTGCCTTTTGGGAAGAGGAAGGACTCACAGAACAGAACAGAGCAGGCTTCTTGTCAGCGCACACAAAAGTTCCTGTTCTTGTTCTTGTTCTTGTCCCTGGGTTCTTCTGTTCTTCTGTTCTTCTGTGTGTTATTTTGGCTCTTTGCCAAAGTGACGCTCTTAGGCATTTCTTTTCTTTCTTTCTGTTTGTTAAATTTGAAAGGACTTGTTTTCTTCCCCGCCTCCCCGCCTCCCCGCCCCCCTTCAAGAAAGTGTCCGCGCCTAGGAAATGCCAAAGCCAAAGCCGCAACAATCATCAAGTCGCGGCCAGGGTGAAGGGAAATCAATTACAAGTCGTGGAAAATCTGCTCGAACCGCTGCCAAAAGTTGTCAACATTTTCATTGAATGTCCTATCCTGTGCTCTCATTAGACACCCGAGCACCCCGAAAAAAATTAAGTGACTTTTCCCAGGATTCCCCAATGAAACATGGCTGATTGAAAAAGTTTTCAAGACATATGTCTTTGGATTCGGATCGGGCTTAATCCTACAATATATGCACTATATAGATACATACACTTTGGTTATTTATCTGTGTATCTCCATTGGCAGCGAGGGCGGGGTGGGGGGGGGGGGGGGATGAAGCGCCATAAGATGCAATTTTCGACTGTGACAATTAAATTGTTTTGGCTTTGTTTAAGCAGCAAATTGTGCAACAAAACTTTGGCGGTTGCCAAAGAAAAATAAGCAACAAAAGAGTGGCAGTGGCTGTGGCAACAGTCGAGCATCGCCTGCCAGGGACCTGCAGGAGTCTGGCATAATTAACAAAAGCGCTCAGCAGGGCGCGTAATTTTGCCCGCTTTGCCAGTGTGTTGGCACTAGTAGTGAAATTATGCTCCTTTCTGGTCCCACTCCGTCGCCTGTCCCTGTCCCAGGCCCTGGCCCAGCCTGCTTCTGGTCTGGCCAGAACCAAAAAGTTTCCGCGCAAAGCCAAACTAAAGTAGTTTCCTCCCCCCAAAGACGGCGGATGGCAGAGCCAAGATCGGGCCGCGAGATTGGGCAGCAGCGAGACGAAACAGGCAGAGACGAGACGAGACGAGAGAGCAGAGCAGAGCAGACCAGAGCAGAGCAGAGCATATGCTTTGGGGCTTGTGTCAAAGTGTGAAAAACTTTATGCGTCTTAATTAAATTTTATGTACAGCAGCACAGGGCGGGAATTATGCGCCAAAATATTGCTACAGCATCCAGCAGAGAAAGAGAGAGAGAGATCCACCGACAGAGAGCAACTTTTCAAAAGTGACAGCTGCAATGGCTAGCAGATTGCTTGCAAGAGGGGGCTGGTGGGGGGGTGGGGTTGGGGTTAGCGAGTAAGGACCTGCCCTCGACTTGACTTTAAGCCAACCAATTAGCGAAAACTTAGCGGATAATTGAGTGCCTGATTATGAAGTTTATTTTCCACCTTCTTTGTTTTTATCTTTCCTTTTGATAATAATAATAATATACGAGTAGTTACGGCACACATCGATCGATTGCATGTCTGTCTTGGGGGCTCAAACACTTGGCATTCAATCAAAGCAGTTCTTATACTCGGCTATTAGGGTCAACGGATCCACCCTCCCACCGATTTGTAATTGAAGCACTCTGCCCAATCTGATATTGCCGGTTAAATTTGAAAGGTTTTTCTTGGACCGACCCAAAAACATGGTGGATGGGTGGAATTTCGGGGAATTTTAATGAATACCCGTACGTAAATTGCCAATTGGATTTCTAGGGAACAGAAATACATGCACCAGAATCTAGAAAAGTCTCGAGGGATTTCTGGGAAAAACCTTTGCGTATTATTTACAATGAAAACATTTGATCATTATGCCATTTATTTTAATCAGATATGGAAAACAGATTGAAGGAAGCGGTACATAAAAAAAAGAGTCTCGGGGGTCTTTTTAGAAGACGAAAAGGATTCAGATTCGGAGTAAAAAAGATCAACGATACAACTGGGGTTCCCCCTTCAAAATTATGCCCTCAAAAGCGCGTTCCTTTAGGTATTAATAGTGTTTATGGCTATAATAAGTAATGATTCGATTGCCATGTTTTTCGGTAATCATTCGTGATGATTCTGTATTGAAGGGGTACCCAAAAAAAGTCACCTTTTTGTAATTGTATTAATCTATTAATTTCGATTTCCGAAATTTATTTGTGATTTTATTAATCTAGAAGTATGTCGGCGTTTGAGCTGAATTTAAAGCGTTCTGAATTACGTATTCATTGGATTTAGTTTTGCATCTTTCTTTGAAGCAATCCAATATTATTTGATCTGTCAAGATATCTTCATTCTGCAAGTTTCTTTTGTTTTCAACGAGCAAGGGCTTGCCTAGACAATCGATTGCGATGCCGATACAAGAATGCCTCGCTTCTAAGAGTTTTTCCCCGCTATCTGTCAAAATCCGCCTCTGCGGTGGCTCCAAACGAATTGTGGTGTTGAGATAACCGCAAAACTCCGTCACAGCCACATGGCGGAGGCTGCCGGCCGAAACACTCTCCGAATCGCCCTTGACATGGTAGATCTTGCGCTCGAATGCCACTATAGTCCGGCCATCTGACTGCGTCGCATTGAAGTATTTAAGCTCTGTGAGTGTCATCTTAGCTCCGAACACCGCAGGCATCACTCGGTTCTGGAACAAGCGGCCCATGTTCGGCCAAGTTCTACGGACATATCCAGCGATGCAGCTCAGTATGAGGGCACAAGAGTACAGGGCAAGGGCAAAAAATTCAATTTCGTACTCCATTATTCTTTTAGAACTTTCGAATTTTGTTTCGTGCCGAATCTAGATTTAGAAATACTGAAAATTTCGAAACAAAATTTATTTCCACACACACCGGAAACTCAACGGTTGTTTTTCTATTTTTTTGTTGTTTCTCTTGGAATTTCGCTTAGGAATTTTCAGTGGGGTGTTAGATATGAGATGTTTTGTAGATGTTTGAGATCCAATTACCACTTGGCGTGTAAGTAGCCATCTCCGTGAGCCATCTGGAGGAGTCCAGCCATCGCCATGGCCGACTTGTCGCACATCGGGCACTTCCCAGTGAAACGTCGAAAGTGATGGACCCTGTGTGTTTTTTTGCTAACATTTCCCTAAACATTTCATAAAACCTTTACCTGGGCTAATTAAGCTTTTTGCTTGTACCAAAATGAGCTGAAGTATACGAGTGTTTGGCCAGAATTTGGGGAATTTTTCTGGTTTTCTGGATTCTCATTATCATTCCAGGCATACACAGCAGGTTATACACCGGAATGTGAGTGTGTGTGACACATATCCTGCGGGCAGGGCGAGAGGAAAGAGGCTACTGGTGGCAGCCTGCCATGCCACGTGGCTAATTTCGAGTGTCACCAAACAGATTCTCTTTTCTGCTTCCTTTATGAGGTGGGTAGTGTTTGGCTTCTGGGGGTGGTTCTACTTGAATTGAATTGATTGTTTTTATTCCCTTCAACAAGTAGAGAGAGAGAGAGAGAGAGAGTGCATGGAGGAGAATTGAATTCATTTTTTGAATATGAATTTCCTATAGGCACAACAAAGGATTCCCCCTGATTCTTACCTTTCTCCACTTGAGAACCCCCCCCCCCCCCCATGTCCCACACACAGATAGTCGTGAACATAGTTTGGGATACCATAGTTCAGTCAACAGCAATTACGTGGCAGCTTAATTAATATATGTATGTACGAGTATGTGAATGTCCAATGGATAAATTATTCAGGCAACTCAATGGCTCCTCCTATAATTGAGGTCTATTCATAGTTCGCTTGTTATTTAATGTTTCTGCAACTGTTCTTTTTGTGTGTGTGTGTGTGTGTGTGTGTGTGTGTTTTTTTTGTTGTTTTTTATTTGTCCGCCAACCAATTCCCCGAACAAGTTGTAAACTTTAATGGCATTTGGTTTTGTTGTATGTTATATGTATTTTTTGTGCCCTCATAATAGTTGACAACTATAATTTATGATTATTTTTTTTTGTTTTTGTTTTTTTTGTTGTTTATTTTTGTGCTGTGCTGGCGGTTTGGCCAGTTGCCCAACTATCTTTTTATATAGTATGTATGTATCTTCACATTTTTTTTTTTCCGTATGCAGTTTATGTAAGTACGGTTGTTGTTTTAGTTGCAGGTATACCTGTAAATACCTGCAATGGCAGGTGGAAAAAAGTTAGTTATGGAATTGTTAACTAATGTACAAATGCATTAGGTTGAAAAAACCATTGCACACAATTTAAGTGATAATAAATATAGTGCCATGGAGCGGGCATATTTCAATGAAAATTGTATTTTAAATTTCATGGAAATTTAAGAGGGGAAAACAGAACAAAATGTTTTAGTCAATGGTCAACTTTCAGACAGAAGTCAGAGAGGATGCTGCTCCCAGGGAATAGAGACAGGGACAGCAGGGAACATCATTAATACGCATTATTTGCATTTTCTCAGAACTTCTGAATCGATCAATTGTCGTTTATTCGCTTTCAAGTTGCGCTCTTTTCATCTGTGCAAAGTTTATCCGCCCCCTGACTGCACCTCCCCTCCGTCACCCATCCACGCCAAGTCGAATTTTCTTCTCTGTCTAGCCGATGGCACCGGAAGTTTCCCAAGGAGCAGCAGAATCGGCAGCAAACCGGCTGCTAAGAGAAAAAAACTAAAAGAAAAGAAAATGGAAAGTTTTGATTTATAATCGTACAAGTTTATAGCTCCTCCAGTCGATGTCGATGTCGATTCAGTTCTGTGTTGCATTTTCTTGAGTTGTCTATCGACTCGGAAAGGGGGATTTGTCAGGCGCTCAAGAATGGAATTCGATTTACCTCCATAGAATATTTAATTTATTTGCCATATCCGCTCTCTCCTCCCTTCGGTTGTCAGGTGTTGAATGGACATTCCATTCCGAATGAATGCCCAACAATAAGCTGCTTTAAGACCAATAAATTTCAATTAAAATGTCAACGTTTAGGGTGTTGGGGGGGGGGGGGGGGGGGGGGGGGAGCTTGAGAGCTACCACTTACAATGTAATCCATGAATATATTTCGTATCTATTTTGTCAAAGGAGGAGAACGAGAAGGAGGACGAGGAGGACGAGGTGGAGGAGGAGGGTAGGAGGATTTATCGCTGCCATTTGCTTATTGACAGCCAGGAAAGTGAGCGTGACATGATGGAAAGTAATCTAATGGAGACCGGATAGACCAGCTGACTCAGGTAATTCATCATAAATACGGAATATGGAGAGCACTCACACTTACACTCACACCTGTGGCTCGTCCTTCTCCTCCTCCTCCGTCCTCGGTCCTTGGTCCTGGAAGTCATCAATCTTCTAAAAGGGAAGTTGACTTCCCCATACTCCTTCCCCTCGCCCCTTTATCCATTTCTGGTGGAAACTTAAATAAATTGTATGGCATATGGTATATGACTCAAAATTTACCATAAATATTTAAAAAATTTTGTTTCCTGAAAAGCATTGCCGAAAAATGGAGGTCAAGGCAATGGGAAAATTTAATGGAAAACTACTTTCAAAATATTAATCCCCTCCACCCTTATCAGGCAAATAAATATCGTCGTCTCAAGCGGATAAATTTCGAGTTATTTTTTCTGAGCCGCCGCCGGGAAAACGTTTTAGGGCTTAAACGCTCTCTTTACTGGCTCAAAAAAAAAAAAAAGAGAAAAAAAATTTTTGTGTTTTGGCCTTTTGCGCATAAAATAACAGCAAAAGAAGCTGCTGCTGCCTCTGCGAGTGACGACTGTGACGACCGAGCACTTTTGATAAGCCGCACAAAGGCAGAAAGGGGTTTACGAGCGTACTAGCTGTGTGGGGAGGGAGGGAAACAAAAAAAAAAAAAAAAAGAAAAAAAAATAAATAGAAACGGAGAAACCCCACTGCCGTAAAATGTTCGAAATTGAAAAGGGCTTTGGGGAAAGGGTTACTGGAGGACGGAGGGGCCAATGGAGTGGATAGTTTGCGTCCTTTGGCTGCTGATGAATGCGTTCACTTGATTGCCGGCTACCCATTTCCACATTTCTACATTTCCCCATCCCCCCCCCCCTTTTTCGATATTCCCCTTCACGCAAAAAGGTTTCCAACTTGAAACGAGACTTAATGACACAAAGCGCACTAATTCAGTGCGCCACTCTATCTACACTCCACACTCAACATTGCTGGCTGCACTCAGACAGCGACTCCTACTCTCTGAATGGATTCCCCTCCTCCCTCTCAACCCATCATCCCATCATCCCTGCATCCCACCATCGACAAGCGAATTATTGTAATCCACTTTGAAATTCAATTGCTACTGGAAAAAAATGAGACACAAATTGGTGCAAAAACGCACTGAGTGCAATTATCGGATATTTCCTGATTTCTGAAAAAGAGTGCTTCCTGGAGGATGGTGGTTGTGAGTCACAAAGGAGGCAAAAGCCTGCGGAAGGCCACAACTAGCGGTTACCTAGGGATAACTTTGCAAATATGAAAAAAAGAGGTTTGGAAAAAGAGGTTTGTGTGCTCCACATTTAACACACAATCTTTGGATTTACTATCCCTTCAAAGACAGTAATGCCTCAATGGGGCGGATGGATTATGTTCTCTATATTACCATTTCTATTTATCGAATTAAAGGAAGACCGGTGCCCATCGATAGTCATTTTTTTATGTAAATATATTTCTCACAGAATGCAGAATTTTGTAAAAAAATTTCCGTTTTATCAAAATTAGCCTCAATGGAATTTTTGTCGATATTTCAAAAATTATAAATGGTGAAAAAATTACACATTTTAATGTGTCGAATGGATTTCAAATAAAAAAATAAATAAAATTCTGTTTAGCTTAAGTTTTAGACCAAAATGCCTTTATTTTGGGTGTCCTTTAAATCCCTAAAATTTCAACATCTAAAAATCTAGAAAAAATCTTCAAAAATCCTGTAATAATATCTATTACAAACAAATCTACGATAACTGGCTATAATCTTTACAAATCTGAATAATTTAGAGGTGTCTTTCGCTATTATTTTGGAATTTGTAGGAGGGAAAGTCCCTAAAAATGTACATAAACGAACTGCAAAAGAGGATCAACATGTTTGCCCTTATCGCAAAGCACTCTCTAAGCTTTAAACTACTCTTTTTGGCGTATCGTGCTGACCAAGACAGGCACAGTTTTCTTGGTAAATGGCCAAAAAAAAAAAAGAGAAAAGGTTTATGTTTGCATTAAGTTATACAATATTCAAATGAACCGAAAGCAGGGCACAAACTTTTCCCAGCCCAACAACTCAAATGCGACTCGTGGGCATTAAAAAGATACAGATACACAGATACAAAGATACAGATGGGGCACGGCAGGGCACTCACAGCTCAGTTCGGCTTCTTGGATGACCACCAATGGGAATACGAAATGAAGGAACAAAAGCTGCAAATCTGTAATGATAATTCCACGATTATGTTTTTGTGCTGTGCCCCTGCCACTGCCACTGCTTATGGCAAAGTTTTTTGCTGTGTCCCTGCTGCTGCTGCTGTGCGTCGGCCATCGGAGATTGTTTGGGTGGGAGAGATGAGTGGCAGGCAGAGCAAATATTGTTGAAGGGAAAATATTTATCTTGTGCCTACGCTTAACACGTACCATACTCGTACGCCCCCATGGTAATTGCTGCATAATAAACAAGACTCTCTCTCTCTCTCAGAGTCCTGCCTCCTGCCGCTTCTGGCAGTGCCATTCTTTTGTTATTTGCATTGTCATTTGTTGAACAAAAGCGCTTTGTACTTTGCCTGTGGGTACA